TTGTTACGAGTTTTTTCTTGATTTCTATTGTGCTTCTTTCCTTCTTTACCACAGGGCTGGCACTAGAAGCTTTCTTTGGGCTCATGGTGGCTTATTTACCAGTTACAAGCACTAAAAACAATGGAATAATACAAAATATATCCCATGTACACGTGGAATCGTCCTCCCTGGCTTGTAAACAATGGCACACTGGCTTTACATGGGCTCAGGCTGCACGGACACGTTCGGGATGAATGTCCTTAACCAAGTTCTTGGGCGTTAGCTGAGCCAATATTTTGATGCAAAAACATGCCACTATCTGGTTTTGGCGTTAGCCGATGCCACCGTTTTATTGAAGGACGTCAGTAAATTTGTCAGGCAGGAATGACCTCTCGTGAACCCATGCTGAGATTCATTAATCAAATTATGCTCTTCAAGATGATTAAAACAATATCAGCTATAATTGGTTTTAATAATTTGCCTACTATAGACGTCAGGCTTATTGGATGGTAATTTGATGGAACAGACTGATCCCCTGATTTGAATATAGGAACTACATTAGCTGTCTTCCACATCTCTGGCACAACACCAGTAAGGATGGACCCATTAACCCTTTGAGGGTTGACAGGCCCTCTCCGAAACTCGTTCTCAGGGTCGGCCAAATTTAAAAAAAAAAAATTATTTTCTCTTATGAAAAGATAGAGAATCTTTTCCCGATCATAAGGACACCAAAAGTTTGAAATTTGATGGAAAACTTACGGAATTATGCTCTCGCAAAGTTAGCGGTCTCGGCGATGTTTACGCATCGGCGATTTTGCCCACTTTGAGCCCCATTTTCGGCCAATTCCACTGTACTAGTCGACAAAAAACATGAATATTTCGCTAGAACTCCATTTTTTCTATCGAATGGGTGCAAGAAACCACCCATTTATGAAATTCAACTATCCAGTACAGTGGTCAGAATTTAGCAATTTTGCCAATTTCACACAAATTTCAAAAGATGCCAATTTCCGAATAGGGTCCAGAATAAACAAGAAAGACATTCCTGGCACTAAAATGACATTTCCTCTGGTCATTAGTCACGTCTCAAGGCCCCTCTTATATTCTTTTGCTTTCCACTTTGAATTTTTATTCTCACAAAAAATATAAGATTTACTGTTATGCAGACTACTGCATTAGTATAAAAAATGGTATAAATATTATTGGTGCACTTGTGAAAGAATATTAGACTCACCAGTTGACGTGTATTGCACGCTTGGCACGATTTGTTTACTTTTGAAATTTGGTAAAAATCGAACATTTCTGCTACTTTGAGCTCAATTTCAAAGTACCCTTCATTGTAAAATCAGTCAAAATCATCTCAATTTCTGTAATATGTCTTCCATTCTATAAAATGAGACCAAGAAAACTAGAATACAACAATAAATACCATACGAAAATACAGTGCAAAGTCGCTGTTTTATTCCAAAAAAATGGTCAAAGTTTTTTTTTTCTCATTATGCACTGTGTACTGCAGGATTTTTTTTAGACTGTGCACACTGACCACATAGACCCATTCTTTCATATGAAGGCCTACCAGCTTTCTCCCACTAGATTTGAGGGCGCTAGAATTTAGGCGTACTAGTACGTCAAAAACCCTGGGTCGTAAGCCGTACTAGTACGTCCGAAACCCTCAAAGGGTTAAACACTCTCGCTAATGGCTGACTAAGTTCCATCTAGCATTCTTTAAGTACCCTGGAAAACAACTCTTTGAGTCCCCGGGACTATTATTATGAAATATTTCTTATGAACAAGTGAGGGGACTGTTGCTCACTGGTAAACAATGGCACACTGGCTGGGAAGAGAGGCCAAGGTGGCTCAGAGCATGAGTACACGTCCCGGACGAAGGATGATTAGCGAGTAAACCGACCATTTGTTTGGATGAGAATAACGCGACGATTTCCGAAAAGGACGACTATCAACCCGGACGATTATTGAGGGACCACTGTATATTACACTTAGATTTAGTTTTTCTTGACCTTCTAGAAACTGTACCCAAATAGATTCTGTTACTAATCCATCTATTTTGATACCAGTTTTTATGCAACAATTTTTATTTCCTCATACATATAATGCAACTCCACCCCCTTTCCCGTTATATCTGTCCGCATGGAACAACTTAAACCCTTGAATATGACACTCGGCAACCATATCCCAACTCATTAAATTATACCATGTTTCAGTTATTGCAATGACATCAAAATTCCCAGCACACACTACCGAACATAATTAATTAATATTATTTCTTGCACTTTAACTGTTAACATAAAATACATTCATATGTTTTTTCTTCTGCACCTTTTTCCTATTCACCTTTACTTTTACACAATTTCTGTAATCATCATTATCCAGTGTTACTCCATGATTGTTATTATTAAGATTCATAATATCAAAGCCTAAGTCAGTATATCCACACTCATTATTTTCCATTCCTAAACCCACTAACTAATCCTAGTTTAAAGTCCTAATGAACCCTCAACTGAGCTAACAAGAAAACCCACACCTATCCTGGATAAATGAACCCTATCCATGGCATACATGTCATTTCTACCGTAGAATTGGTCCCAGTTGTCAATGAATGGTACTGCATTATCCTTAGTGTTTGTCCAGCCAACAATTAATACCAATTACTCTGGATAACCATTTATTTTCAGCACCCCTTCTTGGCAAAATGCCACATATAACAGGGTGCCCCCCCCCACCCTTCTTCCTAATTATGTCTATTGCTGTCCTGTACCTTTTAACTAAATTCTCACTACTATGCTTGCCTACTTCATTGCCTCTAGCACTGAGGCAGATAATAGTACTGATCCCATTACTATTCATGATGTTGTCAAGCTGGCTAACAATATCCTCCATCCCAGTCCCATGAAAGCAAACCCTATGCCTCCTACTCCTATCTTTCAAGCAGAAGGCCCTATCCATGTACCTAATTTGGCTATCCCCTACAAGAACAATGTTTTTACTTTCCTTGGTGTCGTTCATCATGATGTTCCCAGTAGTCAACTCACATTCATAGGAAACTGTTATGTTTCCACAACAGTTTCCTGGATCTTTGTTGTTTCTACCTCTCCATCTGTCCTCTTGATCCTTAACTTTGTCCCATGCTTTCCAGCCACTGTTCAGGTTCCTTTCTTGGCTTGAGGATTCACAACAGGAGGATTAATACAAATCCTCTTGTTTTCCTCACTCACTGTATATCAAGCTTAGCCACCCTCAGTTCCTCCTTAAGCTGCTGGTAGAGTTGCTCAAGAGAGGACATCATGGTTCAGATTCACAGAGAGCACACTAGACAACTCTTCACAGAGCAAAGTACAGGTCACCACTGAGTCACAGAGCAAAGTACAGGTCACCAGTGATGTGCTTGTTCATCCTATTTTTAAAGCTACCTAAGGTTTTTGCTTCAGTGACACTACTCGGGAGTTTGTTCCACTCTTCTGTACTCTGTTACCAAACCAGTGCTTTCCTAATATGAGTTGTGGATGAATGGAACAAACTCCTGACTAGTGTCAGGAGTGAAAACATTAGGTAGCTTTAAAAATAGGTTGGGCAAATACATGGATGGGTGTTGAGTTGGACTTGCCTAACATGGACGAGTAGGCCTGCTGCTGTGCACCTACTTTCTTATATTCTTATGCACTAGTACACAATTTTTTTTTGGCCTTTGAATGTGCCAACTGACAATATTTTTAATGTCAGCACAACTGTTTAGGTCTCCTACAACTTCAAACGTCAGACACATAGGCATTACCTGCGTAATATTGTTTATGAAACAGTTAACCCTTTCAGGGTCGAGAGGCCCTCTCCTAAACTTGTTCTCAGGGTCGAAAAACTTTTGGAAAGAAAAATTTGTTTTCTTATGAAAAGATAGAGAATCTTTTCCCGATCATAATGACACCAAAAGTATGAAATTTGATGGAAAATTTACGGAATTATGCTCTCGTGAAGTTAGCAGTCTTGGTGATGTTTATGCATTGGCGATTTCGCCCACTTTGAGCCCTATTTTTGGCCAATTCCAGTTTTCTAGCCAACAAAAATCATAACTATTTCACTAGAACTCCATTTTTTCTATCGAATGAGTACAAGAAACCACCCATTTACCGATTTCTACTAACCAATAAAGTGGTCAGAAATTAGCAATTTTGCCAATTTCACACAATTTTCAAAAGATGCCAATTTCCAAATAGGGTCCAGAATAAACAAGACAGACATTCCTGGCACTAAAATAACATTTCCTCTATTCATTAGTCATGTCCCCAGGCCCCTCTTACATTTCTTTTGCTTTCCACTTCGAATTTTTATTCTCACAAAATATAGAAGATTTATGTTATGCAGACTACTGCATTCGTGTAGAATTGGTATAAATAATATCAGCGCACTTGTGAAAGAATATTAGAATCACCAGTTGACGTATATTGGACGCTTGGCATGATTTGTTTACTTTTGAACTTTGGCAAAAATCGAACATATCTGCTACTTTGAGCTCAATTTCAAGGTACTTTTCATTGTGAAACCAATCAAAATCATCTCAATTTCTGTAATATGTCTTCCATTTCATAAAATGAGACCAGGAAAACTACAATACAACCATAAATACCATACGAAAATACAGTGCAAAGTTGCTGCTTTAAACCAAAAACACAGTCATAGTTTTTTTTTCTCATTACGCACTGTGTGCTGCAGGATTTTTTTTTATACTGTGTACACTGACCACATAGACCCATTCTTTCAAACATAAGCCTACCAGCTTTCTCTCACTAGATTTGAAGGTGCTAGAATTTACATGTACTAGTACGTCAATAATCCTGGTGCATAAGCCATACTAGTACGTCGGAAACCCTGAAAGGATTAAGAGGTTTACCAAATTTGACCATTTCATCTTTTCTCATCATTCTGCATTATCAGTCAAGAAAGTGGATTAACTTTAGTATTCACTATACTATGTTGCATTGATCGTAAGAGTATTATTTTCTGCATTTCAGTGGTTTGGTGGTGAGGCCCTAAGTGGTTTGCCCATGGTTAAAGGCACTATAGGTGATGAGAGTCAGATGTTCTCTCAAGACATGCCACAGCAAGCACATGAGAGGGTGAGTGTTATCTTTCAGTATTATTTATGCTTCAGAGGCCAGTACTCTGGGGGTTGACCACTCTTTTTCACCAGATTATGTAAAAGCAAAATTTCAAAGTCAGCTTTAATTTATTTATTTGATATTTTTAAAGAAAACTCATGTAAATTAACTAGCTTTTACAACCTCCAGAATGACTTGTACTTTCAAGTAGATGTTGGGTGTTTGAAGAGGCATTACATGATGCCTGTCATAAAATTAGCCGAACAGTTATACATTATGTATATTGAACTGAAGTGCATGGTGGCATCCAAATGGGAAGCATTTTAATTTGCCAATTTAATAATATCTCCTTACAGCATAATTACACAGGGCAGCACTTGCATTTATTAGTATGCATGTACTTAATATGCTCAAGTTAACATGGTACATAATGTAGAGTGTAGTGAACAGTCTTAGTACTGGTAATACAGTCCAAGGGAAATGTATTGTGTTGAGTTTTATGGTAGGCTGTTTCTTAAGTCAAGTATGTTTATTCAACTGGATGTAATTTAATGTTAGTGTGTACATTTAACTTATTCATAACATAATTTTTGTCATTGGCAAATGCACACAGTATGGGTAAAAGATATGTTTTTTTCAGAAACCTGTTGACCATCATTGAAAGAAATATTGTTAGGTCATCAAGTAATACTGTGACATAAACACTGCTTATAGCAACTTTGGAAAATTTGCCTTGCATTGTTGACTGCAAGTTTATAAAATTTTCCCAAATCTAAATCTCTGAAACAGTAGCAGTATTAAATGATGTAATAGTAATGAAGTAATAATTGCTTTATGTTATATATACTGATGTATTAAGTAAGTTAAGAGAGAAAAAACAAGAATAAGCAGGGATGGGAATAATATTATTACTGAATGCTGAAAGCATATGGTAAGTTTGGCACATTTGGTCATGTATATATGTATGAAAGAAGGGAAGATAGGGAATTAATCTTCTGAGTTTGGTAAGTAAATTGGCTGAATTATTACTGAAAAGATGATGGGAAAGATAAAACATGTAAATGCAGAGAAATAGAGTAGATTTAGAAAGGAATGGGGTTGTGTAGAACAAGTGTTTGCAATGAAAAACCTCCAGCGAGTGCCTGTATTACTTAGATATGGGAAAGGTTTTCTTTGTTTAACATCACTAGAGACACCATAGTACACAAATCAAAAGTTTATTTCCCCTTTTTATCCAACATTTGAACGCTTCCACCAGGAACTAGTTTTTCTTACAAGTTTGCATAAAATGTTTCCCCTGGATGCAACCCACAACAGTTAGTTAACACACAGGTGTAGTACCTATTTTTACTGTTAGGCAGACAGAGGTTTCAGGGTGTAAGGACAGTGTGACCATGTTTTTTTGCTGGCTTGGAGTTGGAGCCTGTATAAAAGGAACTGTTTATTGATAGTGTCGCAATATGGCTCATGTTGCTACAGTACCAGTAAGTTGTTAAAAGTTTTAAAGTGTTTTCATGAGGAATGAGACTCAGGTTAGGGTATGTAGGAAAGGAGAGGCTTTTCCAGTGAAAGTGAATCTTAGACAAGGGTGTGTGAAGCCACTGTGATTGTTTAATGTGTTTGTGGATGGGATTGTATAAGAAATGAATGTTAATATCAACAAGAGGTGTGGTTTCAATAGATAGCAAATGTAATTTAGATGTGTAAGTTACAGTCACTTTTTTGCAGATGACTCAGTGCTAATGGGAAATATAGAAGAGAATTTGCAAAACGTGGCTGACAAGTTTAGTATGTTTAAAGCAAACACACAAGGGCATAAGATTATGAGGGTAAACTTAAGTAATGCGACTGAAGGACTATAGGTCAGGTTGGAAGGAAGAAATACAGATGAAGTAAATGTACAGTAAACATTTTTTTTTTTTTTTGCATTTTGTTTGAAAAGCATTGATAATATGTTTCATAAGCATTGAATCATCAAGTTATGTGCAGAATTGGGTAGTCTGTGCTGTGGGATTTTTCCCATCTGACTCAAGTTGGCTTAAGGCTTCAGTTTTTGGAGAGAGACTATCACCCACACTACCTATAGTTTCTTTCTTGAGTGTCACATATCTTACTCTTTCTTTGTTTATAAGATGATTCTGGATATTTTCATCACCCCAAGAGAAAAACAGTACTAGTTTGTGTTGAAGGTGCCAAGAAGAACAAGGGTGAATTTCTGACTGTATTTAAGAAAATGTTAATTATTTATGTGCTCTGAGGTTGTGCATGTGTGATTCACACTGGCTGTAGTATTGATCCAAGAGAACCCACAATCTGTATACTGTAGTTAGAAACAGTGAGAAGAAAGTAAGAGCTTGTGCAGTATGAGTAGTGCAGATTGTGACCTGACGTTAACACATGAACTTTTTTATTTTTTGTTCGATTTCTTTCATTTTTTTTGTACGTAAAGAAGCACCTTTCAATAGTAATGTGACCAAGTTTCAATAAGATAGCTCAAAAAACAACTGAGAAAAAAATTATTCACTAATAATCATACATATTGAACAGTAATTTCGTAATGGGACTTGGAGAAGCTGTTTTGGCATTATCTACGCATAAAACAATGCTAAACTGTATTTCCAATGGAGTCCAAACTGTAATTTATCCTTTCTTTATTCTTAAAAAAATAAAGTTTGTATGCTTTTGACATTCAGCCAAATATCTTGACTTTTGCCCTCACAAAAATCAAAAACAAATTATGATATCTCAATGAGGCCTCCATAACTTTGTAAAACAATCTTTCCTTTATGTTCTCTGTGAATTTCATTACATTCCTGCTATTATTAACGAATTTACTGGCTCATATATGTGAATAAGTTACTTCCGAGATAATCCGCGAAACAGCCGGACCACCGATTTTTTTTTTTTCGAGAAAATAGCATTTTTCTCAGCATTACGAGTGTATATCATAGTTACCCCATGTTCGTTTTCTTTAATATAAGGACCCTGGAGTGAAAGAAGGAGAATGGAAGCCCCTCCCTGAGGATGGGAATCTATTATTCCCGAGGGAGCGCTCTGGGAATATGCCATATATTATTCATTCTGGAGTATTTACCATATTTCTTTGTTATTTATATTGTTTATTATGTCATATTAGATCAATTGGATAGATAAATAAGCCGTAGAAGCTATAATAGCGTTATATTCAAGCATATTCCCCGGCCACCCCGAGACTGGAATTTTCCATGACGTCAGCAAAATGGTGTCGGGAGGTTCCTGGTTGGTTGGAACTCTACGGATAAGTCCCACCCACTGTATTATGATACCAAATCATCAATTATTATCTTAGAAAGAATAATACAATAAATACACGAAAAAAAAACGGAAAAAAAAATGAAAATTGAGGACAGGTGAGCACACCTGCCGCGGGTGGTGACGTCACCCTAGGTGTTTTAAATGACCATAATTCCTTGTAGGAATGTCATAGAACAATGATTCTGGTACCATTGTGTTGCCAGAGAGTTAAGCTATTTTTTTTATAAGATTAATTCAATTTGTGAATTTTTTGACAAAATTTTTCGTTCGCGCTGAGTAAGTGCTAAGTTCCCCTTAAAGGTCAATGCTGTAGGGTAAAACAAATCATAGATGCATTACAAAATATTTAAGCACTCTGGTACAACTATCAACTGCTGACAACTCTACATCCACATCATCACAAGAGCTGCAACCATTCACCTTAGTCCCATACGGTCACAGCAACACTCTCCACACACTTATGTAAACAATCAAGAACAGCTGTAATGTAAAATAAGATATGCTCTTGTAATTTATCCATTGTAGAATACAGTAAAACTTCTCATAGTTTTTGCCTGTGTAGTGTATTTTCAATAGAATGCTTTTAATATTTATATTAAAAATTATTAGTACAGTATGTGGTTTTGCCTGAGTTTATCCACAGTAAAATTTTTAAAGAGGTGGCTCAGGCATGAAAACATTTCTGTTCAGAGATTTTTATGGCCTGGGGAAAACTAGCTGTTGGCTCTGGCTCAATATGGAGTATGCTGTAGGGGCCCTCTTAACCTCAACAGGCAACCAACCCACAGCCGTTAGTTGATAAAACATAAACAGAACTATCAGCTTTCTACTACCCAGAAGTCACATAACCATCTCCAGTCACTATCTTATCAGCAAGCAAAAGAACAAGCAATTTAAAGTAGAATAAATTTCTTACCTGTCACCTTTATAAATGAGAATTTTTTTTTTTTTAGTGAAGTGTATGAGTAGTGTCAGCTGATTAACCAAACAAATGACTCACAAATGAGTACTGCTCAGTTGAGCTGTATAACCATCTTCAAACACTTCTACATCAGCAAGCAAAATTAACAAAGAATTCTGGGGAGCTTGTTAACCAGACTTGAGTTTTGTTAAGTACAATGCCTGTGGGTAATCATTGGATCATAATGTCTTTGTTTGGAAAGATAGTGTGGGAACGGTTGATGATAAATGTATTTTCTTCTCCTGGTCACTTCGTCTTCATAGGATATGATCATTAAGAATAAAATTCTCGTAATTTATACAAGGCACCTGGGTAGTAAAATTAAAAAAATAACATACAGTAATGTGCATATTGATTGGGACAGTGATGACATAAGACATTTATTTGGAAAGTTGATGTTTATTTGATTAATACACAGCAATGATATAGCAGATAATTGATTTAATAAGAGATATGACTACCCTTTACTTTTATAAACATTACTACATGCTTTAGCATAGAATCGACCAATGTTGAACACATTCTGGCAAGTTCTTCATCATAGTACCAGGTCCTAATAACAGCAGCAGTTAGCTTCTCCATGATCATGCATTTCGTTGCTGCCCATAGATTCTCAATTGGTTTGAGGTCAGGAGCTTCCAGGCCAATTTAGAACGGTTAGCTCACTCTCTTTAAAGAATGTCAGCATTTTTCTGGAAATGTGGCATAGAGAATGATCCTGCTAGAAAGTGCTTTCTCCATCAGGAAAGTCTCTGTCCACAAT